GCATTTCCACAGAATACACAATGGAAAAGAGAGAATCTCTTTTTGAAAATCAAAATTCAATCAGATTGGTTTTTTGGAAAAAGAAAAGAAAACGATGATCATGATGATGAAAATTGATGTAAATTAAATGTCAGAAAGGAAAGTAGGATAAGAATAGAAGATGAAAAAAATTCAATTTTTCAATTTTTTTCAAAAAAAATTTCTGGAAATTTTTTTTTCTTTTCCAAGAAAGATTATGATTTCATTCAATTCATCATCATCATAATGGTCAATTGGTGGATTATCATTATAATGATGATCATCATCATCATTCGAGCAGAACCCGAAAAGAAATCGAAACAGAAAAAAACCTTTTTTTTATGCGTTTGTTTGAACCATTGCGTTGGCGTATTTGATTGTTGTTAGCAATTTTTACAAAATCAAAAATTTCAAACAATAATCATCATCATCATTATCATCATCAAAACAACGAGAACAACAAAATGGTCAATCATCATCATGTTACCAATGATGATGATTGTTGATGTTACATCTGTAAAAGAGAGAAAAAAGGCGTTTTTTTCAGCCAAAATTTTTTGTTTTTTGTTTTTTTCAGTTTTGAAACAATCAAACAATCAAAAAAACTTGTCAGTCGTTTTGAATTGGTCAATTTTTTTCCACTGTAGTTTTTCAGTTACAAATTGGTCATTGTGTGCTATACGGCAAAAACTTTTTTGAAAAAAAATATAATTGAAATCAACAAGTGAAAATTTCATTTTTTGACAGCTAAACAAAAAAAAACACATGTAAATTATTTGTTTGAAAGGAGAGAAAACAGGAACTATCAATGGAATTGATTATTGTTTTTGTGTTTTGAAATGTCAAAAAAATCATTTTTTTTTGTTTCATTTCGTAAATAATTCACAAATGAGAGGCAAAGGGCGTAATTGATTGATTGAAACAAAAGTAAAAATATTTCAATGTGCCTTGAAGCAAAATATATTCGAGATCAATATTGGCTATTTGGAATTGGAAAAAAAACATAGGTAAGAAAACTCAGGTAAAAAACGATCATCATCATCGTTTTGTTTGACACCCAATAATGCCAATTGTCATTAGTCATTTGTAAAAAAAAAATTTGTACAAATGTTTTCATTTCATTTCATTTTACAAATGTTTTTAAAAAGGTAGTAATTATCATTCAATCAGGTTATAATTGTTTTTGTTTTCAACTTGTTTCACCTTAATAATGATAACGATTGGAATTGATGGGCGTTTCGGTCAAGTTATTTTTCGTTTTCTTTCGAGTCAATTATAAACCTGTAGAGAGTGTGTCAGTGTTAAAAACAAAACAAAACAAAAATATTTTTTTTTCGAAAAAAAAATTCTCATAAAAAAAAGATTTATGATTTTTTTCCAGAAAACATTTGAAATTCAAAAAAAAAATTGAGGCAAGTCCAAACACACACACACACTAAACATACATTGAAATCAACCAAATCAAATGCGAAAAAAAATCGAAATGAAATGGAAATGAAAATAAAATTGTAAATCTACCCGACAGCAAAATCCGGCAACCAATTTATGTATGTGTGTGTGTGTGTGGTGTGCGATGCGGATATCAAGTTTTTTCTTTTTTGATCAAAACATTTCTCAATGATAATATGTGTGTTTCATTGGTATTTATCCTAATTTTGTTGTTTGTTAACACAGCAATCATCAAAAAAAAAGTCAGGATAGTCTACGGTCAATCACAAGAATCGAAAAAAAGAAGAATTAAGTAAAGAAAACAGAAAAAAGCATCATTTCTTTCATTCAAAGTTTTTTTTGATGACCACAGTAATAAGCACTGGCTATTGTTTTTTCGCTCTATCATCATCATCATTCGATGATCCGCATCGTTTTACATCTGGTTGGATTAAAGCATCCAGCCAGCCAGCCAAAAATCAAAAGATCAAACGGTTGTTGTTGTTGTTTTACAAAAAACAACCATAAATTATTAATTTTTTTTTTTGTTGTTTTTGATTGTTTGTTATTATATAATTATATTTCGATAATAAATTATTACATTATCTTTTNGATGATCCGCATCGTTTTACATCTGGTTGGATTAAGCATCCAGCCAGCCAAAAATCAAAAGATCAAACGGTTGTTGTTGTTATTTTACCAAAAACAACCATAAATTATTAATTTTTGTTTGTTGTTTTTGATTGTTTGTTATTATATAATTATATTTCGATAATAAATTATTACATTATCTTTTAGTTTTTCTGTTTCTCAATCGAGAAATATTCCCGAAAATAAATGGATTTCCCATTAAATAGAATATATCCAACAAAAGAAAAATCATTGTTGTTTATTTTTCTCTCTCTCTCTCTCTCTCTCTCTTTGGCTATCTATTTGATTGTCGGATGCTAAAAATTGACCATTTGTCTCTCTCTCTCTCTCTCTCTCTCTCTCTCTCTCTCTCTCA